AACAATAACAGGCTCAGGGCTAGATTGTGCACTGGCAACAATCAGCGTAGCCCTGCTGACTTCAGTGGAGGTATGGCCCCTCTACACAAGCTGGGCTCTGCCCCATTGAAGTCTGTGGGGAATGGCCAATTTACATGAGCTGAGGAACTGGTCCCAGTGTCTCCAATGGAGCTTTGGTGGTTTACCCTGGAGGAAGATCTGTCCCATTGGCTTCCATGGAGCAATTTACACCAGACTTGGCTGCTGGTGCCTTCCTTGGTGTTACAATCTGGTACAGGGCATAAGGTAAATGAAGCTTATTATGAACCATGTTCCCTGCCTGTTACCCAGCCTTCAAGTGGGAGTAAAAGGTGCAGGTAAAGCACAATTTGACCTGTACTCTGACACTAAGATGAGTCCTCTCAAGACACGTCATAGAGGAGAATAATACAATTCATTCTTCAGCCTGAAGTTGGCTCCCAGCCTTTGGAAGCAGGGAGTTGATTCCATATGGTGGAGTTTAGTGATAAATGAAATCTCTGACCTTTCCTGATTGATAAAGGCGATTGGTCTCCTCGATAATGCGGGTATTGAGTTTGGGCAATCAAGCTTGTAATGTCAGATACGACACACTGTATAAATACAGCTGCTAAACCCGGCAGCCAGCAGGACCTGGAAGAACCAAACAGAATCCAAGATGAAGCTCCAGATCGTGGCTGCCGCTCTCCTCCTCTCCATCCTTTGCCCAAAGGAAAGCAGCGCGCTACCGCGCCAATGGGTAAGCATTCAAACACTGCTATTTTTCATTGCCATTGGCAGTGGCGTAGCTGGAACTAGACCCGAGCTCTCCTGCCTCCTTATCCAGTGACGTGTCCCCTCAAAGACACTGTGTCCTATACTGCAGAACTGCTCACTGAGCTTTTGGAAATCTCCTCCCAATCTAAGTGAGAGGCCAGGAAAGACTCTCAGCTCTTCTCCGGAAGAGAGAGAAGATTAAATAAAAGAGCTTCAAAATTCTGCTTTTTCTTCTAGTTTTAAAAATAGCCCGTGATTTTTTTTTATTTTTATTTTTATTTTTCAACTGAAAATGAAACCAATAGAATTTTTGGTTTTCAAAAAACACTGTGGTTCAATATTTGAGGGTTTCACTAAAAATATATTGTTTTGGAAAACCAAAATCACCAACATTTTCCCCCATAATGTTCAGATTCTAAATTTTCATCTAAATGATTTTTTTTTCTGCAAAAGCTCAAACTATGGTTGAAAAAAAAACTTCTCAGCTGAAAAATTAGGAAGAGAAAAATTCAACCAGTGCTAGTTAACCAAAAATTATTTTTTGCTCAAAATGAAAATTTTAATGGAAAAATGTGTTTCTTACACTATTTTTTGTTTTTCAACCAAAAGAATTAAAACCAAACAATGGGGAAAGTGTTGCTTTTTGATTCCCAGACTCCATTTCCTTCGCCTCCCCCTTTAAATGGAAAAGCAAAGGAGGGGATATTTTCAGTTTATCATTCGTTTCAATCAATTTTGTAAAAATGTTGAAACCCACATATTTTAAAATTTCCCAAAACACGCATAATTTTTCAAACAATTCTGGAAAACAAGAAATGGGGTGGTAAATATAAATGAAAAAACTGAAAAACTTTTCCCTTTCTGGTTTTCTCCAAACAATGAAAAAAATGTGAAAACAAATCAACAAATTTTTCACAAAAATTCATTTGGAAAAATTTCAACCCCCTCAATCCTTATCCAGATGAGTCAGACTCAGGAAGGAAGCTCCCAAATTCTGGAGGTTAATCCCAGCACTCAGAACGAACAGTAGTGGGGAGGTTTCCAACTGCAGACCTGTCTTGGGCCATGTCTACAGACATCTACTAGCATAGCTATGTTGCTGCGGGGTGTGAAGATGTTTGGTCCCCGGCTGACATGGCTGTGCAAGCAAAAGCCACTAGTGTAGACACAGTTATAGCAGCAAAACTGTGCTGTTGCTTTCATAGCTTATTTTGCTCAGGGGGGACTAGAATAAGCTGCAGCGATAACAGTGCACCAGGATAGCTGTACTGACAAGGTGCTCCTAGCGTAGCCATGGTGTGGTTCAGCTATGGACAATGTGAGGGAATCCGTTACATGTTGATGGTATTGGAGAAAGCGCAGGATGAAGTAACACACAGCAATTTTCTTGCAGGCTTCTGGGAGCATATCTGGAAGAGTCCCAGGGGTGAGTATTCAAAGTTGCTTTGCTGTCAGGCTGTCTCACTTCTCATATTATAGCAGAACCTCTTCTCAAGCCCCAACTATGAGCACAGTGGTCAGCTGGAAAAGCCCAGACAGATGTGGAAGTATTAAGGCAAAAGACAGAGCAATGGGCTTCTAAATCCCCTGGGGGGAGTCACAGTTAGTCCAGGTGTTCTTTGCAGAGTTCTGGGACTCTGGATGAATGTATCATAGAATCATAGAATATCAGGGTTGGAAGGGACCTCAAGAGGTCATCTAGTCCAACCCCCTGCTCAAAGCAGGACCAATTCCCAACTAAATCATGCCAGCCAGGGCTTTGTCAAGCCGGGCCTTAAAAACCTCCAAGGAAGGAGACTCCACCACCTCCCTAGGTAACGCATTCCAGTGCTTCACCACCCTCCTAGTGAAACAGTGTTTCCTAATATCCAACCTGGACCTCCCACATTGCAACTTGAGACCCTTGCTCCTTGTTCTGTCATCTGCCACCACTGAGAACAGCCGAGTTCCATCCTCTTTGGAACCCCCCTTCAGTTAGTTGAAGGGTGCTATCAAATCCCCCGTCATTCTTCTCTTCTGGAGACTAAACAATCCCAGTTCCCTCAGCCTCTCCTCGTAAGTCATGTGCTCCAGATCCCTAATCATTTTTGTTGCCCTCCGCTGGACTCTTTCCAATTTTTCCACATCCTTCTTGTAGTGCGGGGCCCAAAACTGGACACAGTATTCCAGATGTATTCCAATGTCGAATAAAGGGGAACAATCATGTTCCTCGATCTGCTGGCAATGCCCCTACTTATGCAGCCCAAAATGCTGTTAGCCTTCTTGGCAACAAGAGCACACTGTTGACTCATATCCAGCTTCTCGTGCGCTGTGACCCCTCGGTCCTTTTCTGTAGAACTGCTACCTAGCCATTCGGTCCCTAGTCTGTAGCAGTGCATGGGATTCTTGCGTCCTCAGTGCAGGATTCTGCACTTGTCCTTGTTGAACCTCATCAGGTTTTTTTTGGCCAAATCCTCTAATTTGTCTAGGTCCCTCTGTATCCTATCCCTACCCTCTAGTGTATCTACCACGCCTCCTAGTTTAGTGTCATCTGCATACTTGCTGAGAGTGCAGTCCACACCATCCTCCAGATCATTAATAAAGATATAAAACAAAACCAGCCCCAGGACCGACCCTTGGGGCACTCCGCTTGAAACCGGTTGCCAACTAGACATGGAGCCATTGATCACTACCCATTGAGCCCGACGATCTAGCCAGTTTTCTATCCACCTTACAGTCCATTCATCCAGCCCATACTTCTTTAACTTGGCGGCAAGAATACTGTG